AAAACTAGAAAACAAGGAGCAAAGTAAAGAACAGCAGAACCAAGACCATGACACAGAGTTTTGGATTGGACACTCATTGTTGATTACTGTTTCTGAATGATGCATCAGACAGTAATCTGTAAGATATTAAAACGCTTGTTGCTGTGTTCTTCTGCTGTATAATGCTTGTTCCCTAACAAAACACCGAAACAGTAACATTTAATTGTAACAATTAGGTTGCACACCAAGGGCCTATGTCTAATTATTAGTTGACTTGTGAAGATAAATAGCTGTTTTAGAATTTATAAATTGTATATGAGGTTAAGGGGGTGAATGCTGAGACACAGTGCACATTATTGTTTACTGCTCAGTGGCGCAGCGGGTAGCTGCCTTGCATCAAGAAGGTTTCGGGTTTGATTCCCGGCCTGGGATCCTTCTGCATAGAGTTTGCATGTTCTCCTTGAGCTTGCGTGGGTTTTCTCCGGGCACTCCGGCTTTCTCCCACAGTCCAAAAACAGGATTGTTAGGTTAATTGGCTTTTCTAAAGTCTTCTTAGGTGTGGGTGTGTGCGTGAATCGTTGTTTGTCCTGTTTGTCTCTGTGTTGCGATGGCCTCGCGACCTGTCTGGGGTGAACCCTCGCCTCTTGCCCGTAGTCAGCCGGAGATAGGCACCAGCACCCCTCACGACCTCACGACCCCACTTGGTATAAGCGTGTCATATGATGGATGGATGTATTATTTTCCTTCTGCTTATCTTGAATATAAATAATGTATCAGTGTATGCTAAGAGCTTGGATTATTAAAGATTATTAAATGCTTAAAGTTTCACTAAAAGAATTAGAGCATTCAGCTTCTTAAAATTAGTGACCATGTGCTTAGTTTAAACCGTGTTAACTTTAGATTTGAATTCTTTGGTTTTAGCCAACCTCAAAATTGCCACTGAATACAGGTTTGATGTTGTTTAAATTAATCTACTTTTACTTTCTGTTATTTTTTTCTTCCCAGGCTTATTCTGTCTATGATGAGGAAATTGGTTACTGTCAAGGCCAGTCTTTCTTGGCTGCTGTTCTTCTTCTACATGTGAGTACATCCGTCACCCATTAGTTCTCTGTTCATTAGCTTAATGATTAATGCAGTCGGAAATGTTGTGTAATGCCCTCATAACCCTGACTATTTAATTTTATATTAAAGTTAATGATGGGTAACGCTGCAAGTGTGAGTTTTTGTTTTGTTTTTGTTTCTCTGTCCATAGGTGTATCATTTTTTTTTCAATTTTTCTAAACAAAGGTTTTTTACTTTTTCCAGTGAACTGGTTTTATTTTTAGAATAAAATATTTTTAAACGTTCTGTATGGAAACCATTTAAAATAACTTACTTGATCTTTCATTTTAAGATTAAAACAGCTGTCAATATATTAGAAAACATCTATGGAAGGAAAAATATCTCTGTTTGCACAGGATGTTTGTAGTGTGATGGTTTTACTTTTTAGTTGAAAAACTTGAGAGAAAATGTAAGAGGAACCATTTTTTTAATCTTGGGTTTTGGTAATGCAACTTGCTGATAGTCCAAGGAAAGACATTTTTTCTATAGGAAGTGCGCGAGTGATGTTTGGTAAAAGGAAACTGTTATTTAGCTATGGTGGAAATTATTTGATGTTCCTACTCAAATGGTTCTAAAGATGTTGTTAAGATGCAAGGCAACAACTGTTTGAAATATTTCCTTTTGGCTGAAAAATTTGTGATACAACCCAGAAACTAACTGTTTCAGCATAAAATGATGCTACTACATACAGAGTAGTTAGTTTTATTGTAATTTCAGTCATCTGCGCAGTAAGAATTTTTTTTAAAAAGGTTACGGTTTCAATAGTTTTAGAAGGGAAATAGTTGTCTAATGTCCTAGCCATCACTTCATTAGTAAAGCCCTTTATGCATAATGTGCAAGTCCAAGATACCTGTTTAAATGTAGGTAAACAAAATGGTCAAATCACGTTTTTCTTATGCAACATTTTTTAGGTGTTATATCCGCTACTATCTTTTTTTTTTTTTTTTTTCGGTAGTTGTTCATCCTTGTAGCAATGATCATTGCTCAGTATTTATATGTTAAAAATTTTTTTTTGAACACTAGAAGACCACTGGCAGGTTTTATACCAGTCTAAACGCCTATGCCAGTAACTGGGATGCATTTTAAGTTTCACTGTAGCCACAGTTGTATTTTGTAATCATGTCACTATAGATTTTTCTGTATTCTCTTGTTGGTGTTATTGTGAGGTTCTTCCATTGCAAGTTGATAAAATACTATGAGAGATTTTGTCATGGAAAGACAAATTGAGGAGAGCTGTAAATGTGACTCATGATAGAGGAAGACCCAAAAGGAGGAGAGACTGGAGTGAAGGTTAAAACTTTAAAGAGCAGTGAGACGGTTGGAAGATGTCAAGACAGCTGAGTAAGGAGAGTCATGAGGAAGGGCCCTGACATTTTATGAGAAGACCCAAGGAAGTTATGTGGAGGATGGAGGAGGAAGAGAAAGTGATGGAAGAAGAGACTGTAAAGAACAAAAGAGAAGTGGAGGTAATAGGAACAGCCATTGTAAAAGGAGAAGGCAGACAGGTCGTGGAGGGAAAAGAAGAAGAATTTATAGACAAGGTGTCATAAAATATTTATTGGGGTTCAACTGTACCTGCAGGAGTGCATTCAGCTCCAACATACACTGTCACTTTGATTAAATATCTCCTCCTAGTTTGTATATGTGTGTTTTAAAGGAAAATGAAGCCATTAATACCCTCAAAGACTTAGTGTTACATTTTCTCTTTGAGCTTTATATTTATTAATCCAAACACAAAGAGAGGTTATTTACAATGAATTCATTTAGGGAAAATGCCTTTATGTGTCCTGTTTGTCCTTTATTACCTCCACATTCTAGTATGCGTCCATTTTTATTTTAGACATTGATAGTGTCACCATAACAAGGATAAGGATATTTTGTCTTTAAAAGTGCTAGGTATTGTATTTAATGATTTTATCCATGTGGTTTCAGATGCCAGAGGAACAAGCCTTCTGTGTGTTGGTGAAAATAATGTACGATTATGGCCTCAGAACTTTGTACAAGAACAACTTTGAAGACCTTCACTGCAAGTTCTATCAGCTTGAAAAGCTGATGCAGGTTTGTAAGCAGCTCTTTATGTTTTAAAGCAAAAATGTCCCTGATGGAAATCAACAACGGCATAATGTTTAGGGGATAGAAAAACAATCCTACCCAGGAGTAGTATCAGATTTAAATATTGACCAAAGATTGGTAATTAGGACTCAGATAAGTTTTTTTTTTGTGTTGGATTTACACTATAATGTAGGATTTCTCTTTTATCCTTAACCAAAATTTAATGTTCATTTTAATTGTAGTGTTACCAGGTGTTGCACCATCTGCATTTTTTCACATATCTGTTGCTTTTTCAACTTTTCTGTGTTCACTAAATGTACTGTTTAATATTTAATTTAATTTAGATCATTAAGAATGTACTTTGTTACCTTTTGGAGAATATAATGCATCATGGTATGTGTGTGACAAAAGCATGTACTGTGATTAAAAACAGTATTCTGTGCCCATGTAGTGTGTGCGTGAGTAAAAAGAGTGAGCAGACTTTTTAATAGCAATCCATCTTTTTAACTTTGTGATCATAAATTTTTATATAAACAAGGATAAAGTAGCTCAGAATAAAACTAATTAATCATTTATGTTTCCTTTCAATTTCAGTTTGAATTCATCAATGTGGAAGATGGAATTAATTCACTCTTTTGCTTAAATGACCAATGAAGAGACCTGCAAAAAAGACAATAGAATAAATTAACAATGTCATTTATTAATAAACAGCAAAGCATGTCAGCTAACTTAGTTATTGTGCTGACGTTAGCTTCATAGCTAAGACTTGTAAACAGGATGTATTTAGCTAGCATGTGTACAGCCTAATGATAGCCTGTTGGGTATAATTTTAAAACATTTACACTATGCTCACTGCTGTTTATATGCTAGTCTTAGCTAAAATGCTAACATAAGGTTAGTTTTAGATTATGGTAACATTAGCTAGTCTCGTAAGTTATTTGTGAAAAGGGATAAATTGAAACTAATGTAATTTCGGTTGAACAAACTGCTTAGATTACTTATGTTAAATGATCTTTAAAGGGGTCATAGAATAATTATAAAGGGCAG